TCTTCTCCCTGCCCCAAGCATATAGTCATTGCCTTCCTTTCATCATTAACATTAATAACTCCTCAAAATATCTTTTCCCATCATAGATGTGTATAAAAAACCACTCTATATTCATGATATTACATTTTGTGTAAACATTACATATTTCTGATAGATGACACATTTTTCACTACAACTGAACCAGAACAGCACAAAATGTTAAGACATACTGTACAATGGTTTGTCTGCTACACCCTCTTCCCTTTTCCTACTGAAATAGAAGCTCAGAATCTATAAAAATCACCATGCATGAACTTCTCATGCAACACAACCCTTGCAAATAGCAAGGGCATACATTACTGAAGCTCAGATTTGTAGTTTCCTAAAAGAATGTAAATGAAATAAATTGTAATTATTTTTTGGGAAAATGTTAGACTTCTTAGAATAATTTTATGTAAAATGCAATACTTTTTACCTTCTGTCAATAAAGTCCATCTTTTCTTTGTTAAGGATGATAAAAGAGTATTACTGTATTTATTTTTATTATAAATAACGAAGAAATGTTTTATTATATTTACATATGCAGTAGTATTATAAGGCTATTCAAAGTAATTTAATAAAAGGTAATAAGTAAACTGACTTCAAGCTAATAAAATTATTTGTAAATTTCATAATTACAAGTCATCCTTCTTAGTAATAATACACTACTACTAATATATTTGGTACATAAATCATGTAATATGAGACCAAATGTCTGGTGAACTACCATTTTCACTAATATCTACAATTTTGTGAATAGCAGATCACACATAATAAATACACAGTCTATCCTCCTGAGACAACACTGGTTATATACTACTGTATAATTAAAGACACTGATGACACTAAACTAGAACACTGCTCTCATGGTGTATGGATTTAATTCTGTCATCTCTGTGGCTCCTCATTTTCTGTTTCATCTTCAGAACTTTCCTTTTTGGTAGGGATTTTTTCTTTGTGTTATTTTATGTTTATATTTGTTAACTTCAACCGCCCAGGGAGGTACTACCGTCCTGCCAAGTAAGTGTAAAAAGAAAGCCTGTAATTGTTTTACATGATGGTGGGATTGCTGATGTCCTTTTTTCTGTCTCTTAAACATGCAAGATTTCAGGTACATCTTGCTACTTCTATTTACACTTAGGTTACACTACACATATATGTACAAGCATATATATACATACCCCTCTGGGTTTTCTTCTATTTTCTTTCTAGTTCTTGTTCTTGTTTATTTCCTCTTATGTCCATGGGAAGTGAAACAGAATTCTTCCTCCGTAAGCCATGCGTGTCGTAAGAGGCGACTAAAATGCTGAGAGCAAGGGGCTAGTAGCCCTTTCTCCTGTATATATTACTAAATTTAAAAGGAGAAACTTTTGTTTTTCCTTTTGGGCCACCCCACCTCACTGGGATACGGCTGGTATGTTGAAAGAAAGATTTGTTAACTTTGATTAAATTGATATTACCTAATCTACCCTATCCTAAAATAATGTACTGAATAGAGAACAATCTACTGAAATCCAAATAGTAATTAACTATGCTTTGCCTTAGGAGGACAGGCTGAAATACAACAGCTGGTAATCTGTGTATTGATTAATGTAGCTTTTTTAACTCTGCAAACATTCTCACATACACAAATGAAAATTTGTATTAAAATTAACAGCACAGATGATATATGGTGATGAACAAATGTATATAAATGTATTTGAAAAATAATTTATTAACTTTCTAAACCATACTTATTAATGGACAAGAAAGGAAGTTACAACTCTGACCATCATGGAAACACAAAACACTACAAATATAAGTATGCACAAAGTTTTGACACTTATATGTTCAAGAGTTTACCTATTCCAATGTTTGTATCAGTAATGAAAGCTATAATTTAATAAATCATGCCTTATTTATGTGTATTTCTCTAGGGATCAATAATAATATTCTGCTAATGAGATGCAGGCACTGAATTTTAGTGCAAGACAGGATGCAATGCAAAATAAATGAATAACTGGTGTTACAAGATGACCCTCATTATTCCAGCAATAAAAAATTTAACTTTAAAAATGTGGGGAAAATAATGGTCAAAGACTAGAATGATTCTCGTACATTATTAGTACTGCACTGAAACATCCGCTAAAGAAAGCCTAGGAACAGTTGACTGCCAAGTGACTGATACAAAATTTGTAAGACTGGATTTTCAGATGGAAGCATAAATTATTAGGAAAAGTTAAAATGTTACTGAAATATGGACATGGAATGAAACATGAAATCTAATATTCAGACCACTGAAATGATCTAAGAAATACATATCGTCTAAGTAGATAGTAAGGAATAAGAAATATATTTTTTTTAGGATATAAAGAATAACAGAGAATATCAGATATGTAAAAGGTGTTAGATAGCAGAATGGATTGAAAAGTGCTCAATGATGGTTCATTTATAGAGACTGATTGATGGTAGGCTACTACAGAAGATAAAGAGGGGATCTGAAGTATGGGCAAACAAACTTTACATGGCAATAAAAAATGGAAGATTATTTAAGGGATTGATGTCATGATAAAACAGGTGTTAAGAACAGGCCATGTATAGATAGAGCTACCCAGAGACTTCTCTATTGTTACCACTCCTTGAGAGGCATTCCCAAGTAGAAGTGGCTTATGTAAGTAAAATATTATTCATAAAGATCTGGGCATATCAAAGGCTTCTGCTACAAGTGTATTAAAAAATTTCAGCACACAAAAACTGCTACCATGAGATGGAAACTAATAGGGTGTTGATGGAGAACATCAATATTAATTTAATTAATGAAGTTTGTACTTACCTAGTTATGGTTACAGGAGTGAGTCTAGGCTCCTGGCCCCACCTCTTGATTACTTACAACCAGTCACCCAATACTCCTGGCCACATGGACCCTATCATAATTTCTCTTAAAGCTGTGTAGACTCTGATTTCACCAATTCCTCAGTCAGATTATTTCATTTCCTAAAATATCCTCAGAAGTGCTTTTTGACGACCCTGTGCATCTGTAACTTCCATCTATTTTTCCTTGTCCTTGGTCCTCATTGTCCTATCAAGTCCTTTATCCATTTTTTTATGGAATTGACTATAGGTAGGCAGGTCATAATAATGTCTTCTGGTTTTCCTTTCCTTCTAACATTTGGTTCTTTGAGTTTTCTTTATACGTCATTATTTTAGCTTTAGGACTAATCTTAGCAAATTTCTGGACTTTCTCTGGTTTCTGAACATATTTTCTCAAGTGAGGGTTTCCCACTGGTGCTTCAAATCTATGATGTTTTGACATATTTTGTATATGGAATCCTGAAGGACACTTTGTAGAGATACCTAGTTAATGCAGATAAATTTACCATTGTGTCCCTGAAACTGAGGCTGAATTAATGGAGTTGGAGGCACTTGGTATCTCCCTCCCTAAAGTTCTTGTCCCTAGCCTTTTCCTAGTGAGATTATGGCTAGCATTGTCACCTTGCTGGTCCAACTTTGTGAAACCATCTGTGGAAAGGTTCTGTTGGAGGGATTCTGCTGCTTCCTGACCATGTGCCAGTTCTGACTGCAAGATGTACAGCTTACTACTGTCAGTGAAAGTCCAAGTAGTTGAACCAATTATATGGTACACAATTCAAGGATTGCCAGAAGTTTGTTGATAAGCAGTAAAAGCAGCAATAAATAATGAGCTCAATTATCAGGGATCTGCATGTTTAAGGGAATGAATGCACCCTGATACAAGGCAATTATATCTGAACTGTCACATTTGTGCACCTCTGCAAAGACAGTGATTGTGTGTGAATGATGGCAAAAGTGTTTCTTTCTTGTTTGGGTCACCCTGCATCGGTGGGAGACACCCAGCATGTTGAGAAAAAAAAATAAGATTTTTTAATGTGCACCTGTTTTAATTTTTTTTAACCCTTTGACTGTTTCAGGCCCCTCTCTGAAACTGTCATTCTATGTTGCTCAATTTTTGAAAAAAAAAAAAAATTATTTTTTCTTATGAAATGATAGAGAATCTTTTCCCGATGGTAATGACACCAAAAGTTCGAAATTTGGTCGAAAACTCGTGGAATTATGCTCCCGCGAAGTTAGCGGTTCGGCGACATAGCGTATCGGCGATTTCGCCGACTTTGGCCCAATTTTCAGCCAATTCATTGTTCCAGTTGACCAAACTCCCTAGCTATTTTCTTTAGAACTCCATTTTATCTATCAGCTGAGTACAAGAAACCTCCCATTTACTAATTTGGATACCCAATATGGTGGTCAGAAATTGGCAATTTGGCAATTTCACGCAAAATAAAAAAGATGCCAATTTCAAAATAGGGTCCAGAATAAACAAGGTAGCATTCGTGGCACTAAAATTACATATGCTCTGTTCATTAGTCACATCTCTAGGCCCCTCTTATATTATTATTGCTTTCTATTTTGATTTTTTATTCATACAAAAAAATACAAAATTTACTGTTATGCAGACGACTGCATTATTGTAAAAATGGTTATAAATAATATCAGTGCACTACTGAAAGAATATTAGACTCCCCAGTTGACGTGTATTGGACGTCTGGTGTGATTTATATACTCTTGAACATTGGTAAAAATCAAACATTTCCGCTACTTTGAGCTCAGTTTCAAGGTCGTTTTCATCGTAAAAGTAATAAAAATCATCTCTATTTCTGTAATATTTTTTTTTTCCATTTTATCACCTAAGACCATGAAAACGCGAATACAACGATAAATACTATACGAAAATACACCTCAAAGTCGGCGTTTTATTCCAAAAAAACGATCAGTTTTTTTTTTCTCATTACGCAATGTGTGCTGCAGGATTTTTTTTATGTGGTGCACACTGACCACACAGACCCATTCTCTCACATGTGGGCCTACCAGCTTTCTCCCACTTGATTTGAAGCCGCTAGAATTATTGAGTATATATACGTCAGAAACATTGGCTCGTAAGACGTATTTATACGTCGAAAACAGTCAAAGGGTTAAAATGCTACTTGTACTTCTTTGTATTCAAAGCTAAATAGAGTGAAAGCACTAGTAACTTTCAATGGTAGGTTGTCATTACTTGAATAATTTATTTGTATGCTATTACTGCATATTTCCAAGTGCTATCAGTATCTGGGAAATTTTAAAACATATTGCTTCTCTTCTTATTCTTTTGTATCCAGAATTTTTGGAAGTGCTGGCTGAGCTGGAGACACAATAACGCAGTTTAGTTTGGTGTACATATGTTTCTCCTAGGGAACCATGCAGTGCAGATAAAAGTCCACATATGATAATGTAGATACTTTTTTTTTTTTTTTTTAACAAGTCGGCCGTCTCCCACTGAGGCAGGGTGACCCAAAAAAAAGAAAGAAAATCCCCAAAAAGAAAATACTTTCATCATCATTCAACACTTTCACCACACTCGCACATTATCACTGTTTTTGCAGAGGTGCTCAGAATACAACAGTTCAGAAGCATACACATATAAAGATACACAACATATCCCTCCAAACTGCCAATATCCCAAACCCCTCCTTTAAAGTGCAGGCATTGTACTTCCCATTTCCAGGACTCAAGTCCGACTATATGAAAATAACGTAGATACATAAAATAATGTAGATACATAAAGCCTAAATCAAACAAAGATTTAGCTATACATGATCCACATGTTGATCTTATGTAGTTTCCACTTCTTCTTTAATTTCAGTCTTAATAGAAACCTGATTTGGAGCTGTGACAACAACATACTTGGTTGTTTGATGTGTAGCTGATTGCTGTGCAATTGCATTTGTGGCCATGTTAGTTTGGGACAGAGAACCTGCTGGGAGGCTCCCAGGGTTAACTGTAACTGTAGTAAGTCCTGTGTTGCATGGACCACCTGCATTGACTACTGCAGTTTTCATCACCCCACCCATGGTTTCTGTGGTTACACTCTGTAACAAAACAAAACTGGATTAAAGATGTGAAATATTTTATGTAATAGGAGGCCTGGAAATGTGACCTAAGGGAGATACAGTGCTGTATGACCACTGGCTTCATGTGTTATCTGTTAATGGTTTTGGAGATTACCAGTCTCAGATCAGGCCTCCTAAAATGGAAAAAAAAAATATTAAAAGGGTAAAAACCACTAAGAAAAAACAGGAAGCAGAAGTTAAAAGATTTACGTGACATCTTACATGTTAATGAAACAATAAGAAAAACCTACCAATGATTACAAAATATTTAAAAGATTCTGTTTCACATTCATATGACAGCATGACAGTACTTACCCATTAGGAACCTACTTGTAGGTCAATTAGGAACCAATTGGGCAAGTACTATCATGCTGTCATATGAATGTGAAACAGAACCTGTTAAATATTTTGTAATCATTGGGAACTAATTAAAATTTGATAACTACAGCAAGCCACAGTATGAACGTGTGTGAAGCTTATTCATCCTTTGTACTAATGTTTTCTAAAAAAACAACTTGTTTGTAAGATGAAACACCAGGAACAGTTTTAATGATAATTTATTGAATAAGCAAATAAAACAGATAATTTTACAGCAACTAAAACATGTAATTAATTCTCTAGCAATTTCTATAGCTTGTTTGCAAACAAGGGGACCTACTGTATACAGCAGTGAAAAATATTTCTACTATTTTTTTAATTACTGGTAAATCTAAGAACAAAGAAAAAAATGTTTAGATAATTTTTACAAAATCCTTGGGAAAGCTACAATAAAGAACAAAATTTCATAATGTACTGGTAATTAATCAACTAAAATATGAAGTGCGAAGAGAGTAAAACTTCTTATTATGTATTGCTCAGTATGTCAAAGGTAAGAACTGACCTGGCTTGGTGTTGGAGGTCGAGAGGTCATAATAATAACTTTCTGGCCAGGCTGCTGCTGAGTCATGCTTGAGGTTGGAGGCTTGTTTACAACCACAGTTCGGGGACCCATTCCACCCATTCCTGGCATGCCACCTATTCATATATTAATCCTCCATAAATAATTATACAGATTTTTCTGTGTAACAGGATTAATAATCTACACCTACCATCCGACTTACGACCTGCTCGACTTACGACCACTCGACTTACGACCGTGTTTTTTATGCCAAATTTCTGGGAAATAAACAACTATTTGTGTTGTACACAGTGTTTATCCTAAACCTTACAGTATAAAATACAGTACTAACAACATAAAAAGAAAAGTAAAACATGAAATACCAAAATAAAACAATAAAATAAAGTCATTACAAAAATGTTTTGTTGATATTCAGTAGTAAAGTTCGACTTACGAGCAGTTTCTCGGAACCGAACTCGGTTGTAAGTCAGATGGTAGGTGTATTTATAGATTCCAATGTCACACCACCCACATTTATATGAAACAAAACAGGAATACTAACCCTTTCAGGGTTGGTGCCGTACTAGTACGGCTTGCATGCCTGGGTTGGTGCCGTACTAGTACGTAAATTCTAGTGCCTTCAAATCTAGCGAGAGAGAGCTGGTAAGCCTGCATATGAAAGAATGGGTCAATGTGGTCAGTGTGCACAGTATAAAAAAAATCCTGCAGCACAGTGCATAATGAGAAAAAAAAAACTGACCATGTTTTTGGTTTAAAACAGCGACTTTGCACTGCATTTTCGTATGGTATTTATGGTTGTATTCTCGTTTCCTTGATCTCACTTGATAGAATGGAAGATGTATCACAGGAATAGAGATGATTTTGATTGGTTTCACAATGAAAACTACCTTGAAATTGAGCTCAAAGTAGCAGAAATGTTCAATTTTTGCCAAAGCTCAAAAGTAAACAAATCATGCCACACGTCCAATACACATCAACTGGTGAGTATAATATTCTTTCACAAGTGTGCTGATACTATTTATACCATTTCTACAGTAATGCAGTAGTTTGCATAACATTAAATCTTCTATTTATTTGTGAGAATAAAAATTCAAAGTGGAAAGCAAAAGAAATGTAAGAGAAGCCTGGGGACGTGACTAATGAACAGAGGAAATGTTATTTTAGTGCCAGGAATGTCTGTCTTGTTTATTTTGGACCCTATTTGGAAACTGGCATCTTTTGAAATTTGTGTGAAATTGGCAAAATTGCTAATTTCTGACCACTTTATTGGATAGTTGAAATTGGTAAATAGGTGTGTCTTAACCATCAAAAAACATTTTAAATTTATTTATGTACAAATTACTAAAAAATAAAATGTAAAATAAAAAAAATAATGTATAACATCTTCAACTTTTTTTTTTTTTTTTTAAAAATTTTGGGTTTCCCCCCACAGGATTTCCCCAAAAAGAAAAAAATCCCCAAAAAAAGAAAATACCATATCATTAAACTTTAAATAAATTTTAAAAATGTTTTTTGCAAGGGGTGTCGATTACAACATTTTTGAAGATCAACAATAAAAAATCCAAACAACCCCCCAAATGAAAACCCCAAAACCCCTCCTTTAACCTTTTGGGGTGGTCCCGAAATCGTTCTGGGGTGGCCTTTAAAAAAAAAAAAAATTACTTATGAAAGAAGGAATTTTTTTCCCCCGATATAAAAAAAAATTTTGAAATTTGATAAAAAAAAAACGGAATTTGTTGCAAAATTCCCTCTCCGTTGTTAATGGGATTTGCCCCTTGACCCCTTTTTGGAATTTCACGAAAATAGTTGACCAAAAAAACATGAAATTTTTCGTAAAAATCCTTTTTTTTCAAGGGGCAAGAAAAAACCCCCCCAATTTTAAATTAAACTTAGTAATTCAAATTTAGCAATTTTCCAATTTCACACAAATTTCAAAAATCCTTTTTTTGGAAAAAATTTCAAATAAAAAAGAAAGAACCTCACAAAAATGACTTTTTATTTAGTAAAAGTCTCCCCCCTTTTTTTTCTTTTGTTTCCACTTGAATTTTTATTAAAAAAAAATTTTTTAAATTTTGCAACTATGATTAGTTAAAAAATGTAAAATTTTTTCATTGAAAAAAAATTTTAGTCACCATTAGTTTTTGAGTTTGGGACATTTGTTTACTTTTGAATTTGGTAAAAATCGCTTTTCTTATTTTGAGCCTTTTTTCACACTTTTTTGTAACCAGTCAAAAACCCCTCAATTTCAAAATTTTTTTTCCAAAATTTAAAAAATAAACCCAAAGAAAATGAATACAACAATAAATACTATACAAAAAACCCCCAAAGTCGGTTTTAAATTAAAAAAAAATAAAAAATTTTTTTTTCTCTTTCACCTTTTTTTTTTTTAACTGTCCCCAGGGGACCAAAGACCCCATCTTTCATATAACCTCCCACCCCCACTAATTTGAGGTCGTAAATTTAGAGACATATAAAAACCCCACCCTAAACTCATCCCCAAAAACCCTTAAAGGCAGGCTTTGTACTTCCCATTTCCGGGACTCAGTCCGATTAATGAAAAAAACCCCTTTTTCCCCTGAATCCCTTCACTAAAAATTACCCTGTCACACTCCAACAGATCGTCAGGTCCCAATACCAAACGCTCCATTCCTCCTACTAAACCCACGCCGCTTGCGGGAATCCAAGCCCCTTTTCCACAAAAACCTCCTTTACCCCCCTCTCTCCAACCCTTTTTGAGGGCAACCCCCACCCCCCCCTTCCCTTCCCCCTAAAATTTTTATATGCTTTCCATGTATTCTATTTTGATCCATTCTCTCTAAATGCCCAAAACCCCCCTCAACAACCCCTTTCTGCCCTTGACTAATCTTTTATTAACTCCAAAACCTTTTTCCCTATTTCCACACTCCAAATTTTTCAGCATAATTTTTACACCACACATTGCCTTAAACAGGACATCTCCACTGCCCCCAACCTCTCCTCGCTCTGCATTTACCCCCCAAAATTTCAACCCTATAAGTTGTTGGTCACAATACTTTCATACTTCCCTTCTTTGCCTCCATAAAAAAGTTTTTTGATCCACATAACCTAAATGCACCATCACCTTTTTTTTCCCACAATTCTAGATTAACCTATCCTTCATAAATCCATCCGCCACACGTAAAACCCCCAAAGTATCTGAAAACTTTCACTTCTTCCATACCCCTCCCCCCCAATTTTGATATCCAATTTTTTTTTTAAAAAATAAATTTGAACCCTCATCCCCTATTTTTTCTATTTTCATTTTAAATTTTTCTACCTTCCCACACATTCCCAAACCACCCTCCCTTTTGCAATTTTTTTTTTGAATTCCAAAAGCACGTTCATCAGCAAAAAAGTAACTGTGTCAATTCCCATTTTGAATTTGATTCCCCAAAATTAAACCCACCCCCCTCCCAAACACCCTAGCATTTTTCTTCCTTTTTAACCCCATCTAAAAAAATTTAAAAAACCAATGACTTCCATCCCGTCTAAAAAACCTACTTTTAACCGGGGGTGTCTCCCTCTCTTTACACACCCTAACCTAGCCTCCTATCCCCATAAAAACTCTTTACGCATTTAATAACTTACCACCTATTCCAATACTTGCAAAATCTGCCATATTTCTCCCCATCCACTCTATCAATTTTCCTTTTTAAATCCATAAATGCAATAAAATTCCCCACCTTTTTTAAAAACTGTTCACATAATGCTTCAATGTAAACACTTGATTTACACATCCCCTACCCACCCGAAACCCCTTGCCCTCCGAATTACTTCTGTCTTTTCCTCTAATTCTTTTAATTTTAACCCCACCGTACCTTTTCCTGGATACTCATAAACTTATTCCTCTATAATTTTACGTCTCTTTTTCCCTTTCCCTTTTTATAAAGGGATAACATGTTCCGCCATCCCCAGGTACCTTCCCCCCCTTTATACATTTATTAAAAAAAAAGTACCAACCCTCCAACACTTTTCCCCCCCCCCCTTTAACTTTTTTTTCATGATCCCCTCAGTTCCAGCTGCTTTTCCCCCCTTTATTTATTAATGCCTCACGTACCTCCCCCCCCCCACTTACCTTCTGCTCTTTTTCCCCTAAAAAATGGGATACCTCCCTGACCGTGCAGAAATTACTGCCCCTCTTTCTTCCTTAAAATTTTAAAGTTCCTCAAAATATTCTCGCCATTACCTAATACCCCCATCTCCCATCTCAACTCCCCTACTCTGTTTTTAAATCAAACCTTTCTTTCCCTAGGGTTTCTAATTTTTTAAATCACTCCCAAAATTTTTTCTTATTTTTTATTAAAATTTCTGACAGGCCTCTTCCACCCAAAATCTGCTCTCCTTTTTCATCTCTCATCTTTCTTTACCTTTTTTTTTTATCTCCCTATACTCTGCTCTTTTATAAAAATTCTGCTTTGTAAAAAACCCTCATAAGCACCTTTTTCTTTTTTTATCACACCCTTTACTTCTCATTCCACCAATCACTCCTCTTTCCTCCTCCCCACCCTCCTATAAACCAAAAACTTCTGCCCCCCTTTAATACTATTTTTAAAATATTCAACCCCTTTAACCCCCCCCCACCCATCTTTGCATAGCCCCCCTTTTCCCAAAATCACTTAAATCTCACCCGAACTTTCCTCCCTTAGTTTATAACTTTCACCTCCCCCTTACTTGTTGTTGCCCCTCCTCTTTTCCCATCACCTCTTACTTAACTGTAGCTACAATAAATAAAGAACCCATATACAGTTGCCCCCCCTTTTAAACTTTAATCCTGGGCCTACCAAACAACCCATTATCCCCAATACATAATCTAAAAAACTACTTTTATTACTGCTACATCTACCCTTTTAATTTTTTATCCCTTTTTTTTATAAAATATGTTTACTTATTACTAAATCCTTTCCCACACATAGCTCAATTAAAAACTCCCCCTTTTTATTACCCCCGGCACCCCCAAATTTTCCTACTACTCCCTCCATAACATTTTTACCCACTTTAGCATTGAAATCCCCCCAACCCCCCATTAACCCACCTTGATTCAAAACTCCCCACGCATTCACTCAACATTTCCCAAAATCTCTCTCTCTCCTCTACACTT